AAGTTTCCAAATTTGTACAATATTAAAAAAAATTCAACAAATCTTCGTACAAACTTCGAGCTTTTTCAAATATTCTAAAAAATCAATCATAGTTTTTAGCCATTTGAAACTTGTACTTTATTGAACTAGAATTCAATGGGCAATAAAACTGCATACTCAGAATCCAATTAAAAAACTCGATATTTTTACAAAAATTTGTTGAATTTTTTTTTCAATTGCATAAATGTCTAAGGCAGTAGCACTCGATTGTAATCGATTCGAACTTTTCCATTGCCGATCTCTAACAATTGCTTAGAGAACCGATCTTCAGATTGATTATTGTGCAACTGAATACGCATGTTTATGTGTAATGTCAATTTTTGCATATATCGCCACAGAGGGGAAGACTTCCAGCATGCATTGATCTCATCTGCCGGTGTTGATCGTGGAATCACGGGCAATGTTTGTCGAAAGTCCTCAAAGCACCACCAAAAAGCTGTTGATTTCCACGTAAATCCTGCATTGTGTTGATTCTCCAAAGTACAAAATAGAAAGACCAAATATCAATGTACATACACCACCTATTCGATAATACGATGAAATGACAGATATGTTGTGTTGTGGTGACTTTCATTCCATTGGCCCTACAAAATCCCTATTGAAAAACTTGCAGCCATGTTTATACTTGACTTAATTTATCAGAAGAAAAAATAAACACAGCACATTATCGCAACAATTTTTCACAACGTTTTCAAACTTTTCGTTCGAAATGATGCAACAAATTTGTGCAAAATTATTGAAATAAATTCAATTGATTTTTTTGAGCTCATGGCCGGGTTGAAATAAAACAATCTTTTTTGTTGTTTTTAAATCGTATTTAAAAAAAAAATCAATTACTAATTGAGAACTATATTGCAGCCATGTTTATACTTGACTTAATTTATCCGCAGAAAAAATAAACACAGCACATCATAGCAACAATTTTTATACCCGAGCGCACTTGTGCACAAGGGTATATTAATTTTGTTCACATAACGGTTGTTTGTAACAGCCAAAACGAATCGAGATAGATATAGACAAATGTATACATAAATG